AAGCTGGTACAAGCACGTACAAGGATATTCAATCTAGTACTGGCAGCTAATTTTGTTGTAGATGTTGTTTCCAGACTGAGCTGGTCCTGGAAGCAGTGTATTCATGACCCATGAGCCCTGCTTCTTCCAAAATGGCTTGTTTAGCACCAACTTACATGTTGGACTTAAATCGTTTAATGCATATGGAAACCTAGGTATTTAACTTTGCAGTTTGTTCACTCTCTTGCGCCTTTGGCCAGATTCTGCAGACTATGCTGGTGCAAGGGGCCATGGCAGGTGATGACATGTCAGCCTGTACTCATTAAACATATGTTTAAGAATTAGGATACTCTCAGGTATGGTTTTGACACTCTCCCACAGAGGCTTACATGTGAAGTAACATTCACTGAACCAAAACAAAAGCGATATTGGCATGTTTGTGAGGATAGAGCATCTGGCAATTTTAACAGCAGATGGTGATAGTACTTAAGGTTTGTCGTTTAATCTCAGAGTGAATTATGCTTTTTTTTCTCTCATTTAGCGCACTGTCAAGTTCAGATTAATTTCAGGTAGGTGAAAAGCAGTGCTAGACACTACCCTTGGTTGGTTGGCAGTTTTTTTGGAGTCAGTTAAATTCTTATTTTAACCTTTTTTTGACAAAGCATTCCTGATCTTCAAAGTTGATAATGTCTGGAACTGCCATTAATGAACTTCATGCTTGCTTTTGTTTTTTGTCTTTAGAAAGCTGTCTCTTTCGCGGATGAAGATGAAGCCCAAGCTGCAAAGGATTGTCTCCTGGTTTATTCTCAGGGAGAGTCAAGCTCTCCCCATGGGTCCGTCGGCTGCTGCAGCTTTATTGAGAGTGATCTTGATGACCGTTTCCTTGATGATTTAGGAGATAAATTTAAGACTCTAGCAGAAATATGCATGGGTAGGCATATAGACATGAAAGACAGTAACTCCAGAAGTGAATCCGGTTTCAGTCATAATGATGCAAAGCCGCGGTTCTTGGATAAGCCAGGTACTTTCATTTCCGAACAAGCCTCTGCCTCAGGCAGCTGCTCGCAGCCAGCCCTGGCAGCGCTCAGGGATAATGCTGTAGGAACAAACACTGTGTCTCAGGAGGTGGTCACGGAAACCACCTTTGTGTCAAGGTCTGGGCAGCATGAGGCCAGGCCTGTTGCCAAACCGTACTCTGACAGCAATGTTACTGTGACAGAAACGTCCTATTCTGTGGACCCCCCTGCCGCTGTTTTTGTAGATCCCCAGTTTAAGGAGAACGTAGTGGTGACAGAGAGAGTGTTTGCACCTGCTTCAGGCTTGCAGGACATGGTGGAAATTCCCGATTTGCCAAGTGGAAATAATGTGGTGGTTACAGAAAGGATGATTAAAGCAGAGGGCACCAGGCCAGGGGTCTTAACAGCCCAAGATCTCCCAGACTCGCAGTACGTTGTCGTGAGAGAGCGGGAGAGGGTGCTTGTGCCCACTTCCAATCAGGGCTCACTGAGCTTCCCCCGTTTATCTGAAGGGCAGAACATGGTGGTGACTGAGCGGGTAGTCACACCAGCCCAGATCTCGGGGATGCAAAGCAGAAGCGAGCAGACAGCAGATGCTGGACCTGGAAGGCAAGAGCAGGTATTAATCACAGACTCCCTGCTCAACCAGCCAGGCCCAGCCTCAGAGGGGACTCTTGCTGGGTCCACTCTGAGCAAGTCTTCGCGAGTCACAAAATACAACACTGTACAGTACAGTCGCTCATAAACGGGGCCTCTCCCAGGCGGCTGTGTTTGGCTTCCTTTATTTCAGTACACACTTTGCTTTTGAGCTCTTTCTTGAGCTCTGTACTTTTTTGAAGCTTTAAAAATGGCACGGACTGTCTTGTGGTAGTTTCTATAAATAAGGATTATGACCAAGAGGCTAAAAAAGAAATCTGATGTTGTTATGTAACACTTGGGATGGTGCTTTCAAAGTGGAAAGGTGCACGAAATATTTTTTCCTTGTTTGTTAGGTTTGTAATTGCTTTTATTATTCAGTTAGCATAATAACACATAACTACAGCTGTGTAATCATGGAAAAGCAGAAAAAAATCTAAAACTCGTGACAGATAGTAGGGTACAAAGCAGAAGGTAAGTTTCTGAACTGTGGCTTAGTCTGCCTGATAAGGTCTCCCCAAAAGAGGCATCAGTTTCTCATTGGGTGATTTCCCATTTTTTCCCTTGTGGGCCAGGGCAGCTCCACCCTGCAGCTGCAGCTCCATAGCTCCAGGCTTTAGTGAATTTACAATGAAGTCTCTCCTTCCTGAGAAGGCCGCTCCCCAAAGTTCTTGTGTCCTTAGGGCAGCAGTGTGCCCCTCTCCTGGCGGGATGGCACAACTTCAGGTTGTCAGCATTTGTGTCTTCTGAGTCATCAACTGCATGCTGGCACATGGGTGAGTAGCACCCACTCGTAGAGAGCGAGTAGCAAAAATGCAGAGAACTTAAATTGTTCACTGCCTCCTGAGATAAAAATTTCTTTGTTTGGCCTAGGTCTAGACTGACAGAATATAGAAAAATAAGCATTTGTATCATACAGGTTTTAGCTCACTGCTAATTCATCATTTAATAATGCATGAGAAACAGCCAAAACTTACTTTAGCGTTAGAACCAGGGGTTCGGTGGCTTCTGTTAGCAAAGTTTATGGTCCTTAGATGTCTATTGGGTCTGATTTACAAGGGCAGTTAAGTGATTTTATTTACATCTGTGAACTGTCAAGCACAGAAATGACAGTGCAGCCTAACACGCATTTTTGAAGCTCTGCTGACTCCATTATCAGAAGTCCTGTGGCCTGTCTAGCGTTGTGTAATGGTAGCCTCTATTAGCTCTGACAAGAAAATAGAAATCTCACTATAGTTCTGCAACAACTTAGAATTTTTTTTTTCCTTGAAACTTATGTGGTAAAAGGGGAAAAGAGTACTGTAATATTTGGCACTATGTATATATGCACATGTAAATATTTATTTTTATGCAGTTGAAACATTTAAAGTGAGTTTTTTATAAAAATATATATAAAAATCACTGTAATACACTCCTCATGGTTTGTCAGAGTAGAAAGAAGTTTTTTAGATTATGTATTAGCACTGTAAATGTTGACCTCTCATACTTGTAATAGCATTACCATGACTAGCTTACTGATAAGCCCGTCCACATGCAGGGCTTCCCGGTTGTCTCCATTTCTACTGGACTTTTCATCAGCTGCAGTGTTATGTTTTCCATTGATAATGTTTTGCATCTGACTAGAAATGCTTTCAGTGCATTTTATTTGAGGGATAAAAAGAAAAAAAGTTGATTCATAAACATAAGTGAGAACTATGGCTATGTTCAGATGTATGTAGGAGGCATGGGCTGTTATTTTAAGTGGAAGAGTACTTCCAAGCAAATCAAACAACTTGCTCGCTTGGTCCTGATGTTTTTATCTCAAATTCTGTTTTTAAAGTATATGCATTTACTTTTTAAGAATCATGCAGTTTTATGTGGTGAACACTTTTTTTTCCTGCAGTTAGAGTGAACTTTATAATGCATTTCTGGCTTTTTAATTGATTATTTCTGTATTTTTATGCAATCTTAAAAAAAAAAAAAAAAGCTACAATTTTTGTCATTACTTATTCAACTTTAAAACAGCTACCTTGATTAAAAACTAACTTTTCTGTTTCTTTAAATTTCCTTTGGAAATTTTAGTCCTAGTTACTGCAAATAAAATAGTCTAAAGGACTATCTGAGAGACAGAGTAATAAATTTTGGTGTCCTGTTTAACTTACAGATTCTGAAAAAGTCAGAATTCTGCGTGTCTGTTTATTTACAGCTTTTATTGGAACTTGTCAATAATCATCACCCAGGTGCTAGTACAGCAAGCCTGGTTTCTAATGAATATCAAATAGTGAAGTCCAGCATTTCATCTACAAATCTTAAATTGCTTCATAAATGAAATCAAAGACTTTGCTATCATCCCTGTGCGTGCAGAGAGTAGTGCCATCAGCTGTCTGTTATATCTGCTGCCCTCTGAAAGGGGAAAAAAAGAAAACATGAAAATACATTTGTACTAACATTTCAAATGGTATCAGCACATCCATCCAATTAATACATTGCTTCCACTAGAGTTGTGTTTTTGTAAATGACCATTTATAGTTGTGTAAACAAATGGTTAGCATCCAACCACTAGATAACCCTGTGCCTGGGATTGCTGTGGTCTAAAGCTTTCTTATCTATAAATAACAGAACATGGTTACCTTAGTCCTGAAATACCAGAAGGACAGGGACTATATCCAAACAGCTGCTGATTTGTGTTTCCTGTTCACCTCCACTAAGGATGTCAGGCTTCACAGGTATAAATCCACATGCTGCAATGAGAATGCTGCCATCCTTAGCAGGAGTGCCTAGGAAAGCAAGTGGAGCCCGTGATAAAGTAGTAGTACTGTGTAGTACTTCAAGATGTATTCAGAGCGAGGTTAGACTTAAGACCTGACATTTTGTTCCAACCTCTGTTCTTTCCTGGGCATTTGATCATCCACCCCCATCTCAGACTTGAACCTTGGAGCTTATCAGCCATATCACAGTTCAGAGAGAGTTAAAATAAATCAGCTGCTCTTCCCCAGGAGCTTGACACTGGTGGTAAGTGTTTATGGCCTCCAAGAATCCCAAAAATCTGTCCCTCCCTCTCTGTTTTTACTGTGATGGATGATCTACAAGTTCTGGCTGGTTTGCTCACTGACCATTTCTCCTGTGGCCTCTGTGCTTTCAGTGCGTTCAAAATGCAGTCAAAAAAATCTAACTTTTCCTGCTTCATTGACAATAAAATCTGTCCTATGCCTGCCATTGTCTCAGGCT